AATCAAGTTATTAGCAGACGTTTCGGGCCTTGCCCCTCTTCAGTGCTAAGTTTGGAATTACGTTTTCTTTAGGGTGCCAATGGTGATCCAGGAGAACAGGGAATGCCAGGAGAAATGGGAATAAAGGCAAGTGTTTACCACAGTGGAAATGAATAGAGCTCAAAATTGACTTGAAAATGAATTTTGATGATATAAACTTAATGGATGCATACCACTTTATAGCCCTTATTCTCATTTATCATTCATATATAGTCTTAAAGCAGGCGTTACGGATCACGTAAAATCGAAGTGCAGTCGACAGTTTCCGATCCCTGGAATGAATTGTAATCTGACCTAATCAAACGCAGACACAATCGAACAGAGGTAGCAGATTGCAATGCATGCTATTTCCGTCTGGGCTCTACCCCAACCATTCCTCAAATTAAATTCCATCAGCCTCAAAGTCAATTTAAAAGAAAAATGTTCCTTGAATTATTTGGGATGCCTCGCTTTCCCTTTAAAACTTTTTTTAATCTCCTTTGGTAATTTTATTAAAGGGCAGTTCCGGAGACAGAGGAATAGGTGGACAGTCCGGTGCCAATGGCGACCCGGTAAGATGTGTTAATTCAAAAAGTTAATCATAAAGATGTTTAGTTTAGACATACAATCCCGACATAACGAACCTATCTAAGATGTCTTAGAGAAGCATAGCTGCACTTTAGCTGCTAATTAGGGGGCTATTACTCAGAATTCCCATTTCCATTCCATTTCCATTTCCAATTTCCTTACTATATGCTTTTAAAGGACAAGATGATTTCACAGGCTAGATTTTGTTACTCTTGCATCGATGCCATGTCCATCTCGCTCCAGCTGCACGGAGTACCCAGCTAGAACGACTTGTTCATTGCGGAGGCTGACAAGGGAGACAAGAGCTGGTTGGTGGCAAAGTGTAGAGGCCTTATGTGCCACTTGAGATGAAGAGGATAGGTAAACGTGAACGTGAAAGTCACTAACGTTTTTTGGTTTCATACGCCAGGGTCCTCGAGGTGATCCAGGACTAAGCGGACAAGCAGGCTACTTGGGTGGCGCAGTAAGTTTGGCTCACCATATCAGGGGCGTAGCTACAACTAGCATTTTGGTTCCTTTTGACCCACAGAACCAGGCCTACAATTATATCACCCCACCCATATTTTTAAAACAAATTTCTTAGCACTGTCAAATTCGCAGATTTAAAAGATCGTAATTTTTAATTCATCTTAGCATTGTCAATCTCCCAGCTGTTGACCCAGCAGGTCCCGTTTGATAACAGTAAAGCTCATCATGCGAACTTGAATACTCTGTGTGCCGTTTAAGGCAAGTGCGTCAGCTAACCAATGGGTGTAAATTGGCCCATTCTGTGTTATTTGGAATTTAGAAATGTCACCATTCAGGTGCTGTCGAGATATACATCGAATCACCAGAAAGCGAAGGAGAAAGCATTTTTAAAGTTGCACATCTCCAAAAGTTGTGCGGGCCATATCTGGAGGCGGGCTAACTGACTGGCCTTCGAATCTTCAAAACCCTGCCAGGTAGAATATATTAAATTGTAAGTAAAAGAGCTGTTGATATTATTCACGTTCTAGGGACCGCCTGGTCCAATAGGCCAGCCGGGTGCTGTTGGACCTAGTGGAGTGAAGGTGAGTGAAATTGCAATCCATTACTGTAGATGATTTTCGTGATTGCTGGTCACTTTAAAGGAGCTTAGTGGCATTCATCATCCCTCATCGTGCACCGCAGGACACTCATGGCCATTCAGTCACAGTAGTTATTTTCATAGTAGACTTATTGCTTGCTTTACTTGTTATCCAACTGCAGCAAATACCGTGCACATAACAGTACAAATATACAGCAATATTGTACAGTTATTTGTACAGTAGTAAACCTGGCGCACGCACGCAAAACTGTCACACTGTCCCTCTTTCGTTGATAAATTCTTTGACTACAGCAGCTGGATAATGAATCTCTTATTAGATGATTTGGTGTGTAGTATCACTTTATATTTTTACTCGTTGTTTGTATTTTGACTCGCCCTACGGGCTCGTCAAAATACGGCACAACTCGTAAAAATATACAGCGATACTACACACCAGAGCATCTAATAAGATATATTTATTGCTTATTACTTAGTTATTTTGGGAGCGTGCAAAATTACCTTTAAATTGAAGGAAACCTGAAAATAATAGTTTACTGAGATAGAAAAACATTAAAGAGATAATATTAAACCGTAAAGGAATAAGGATGGTTAAGGATGTAGAAATTACACACGGATTACAAACGACGAACTTGAAAAAGTTAAGCAAAACTTTTCAAGATGCGCGAACCGTGACGTAGCTCCTTTAAAACCTTGTAAGCTCGTCTATTTTGCCTCTTGAATTTAACCTGGCTCACAATGCCATACGTTATTTTCTTTACGTCTACATGTTCGTTTGTACTAATGTCTTCTTTTTTGTTTACTATAGACATGTACATATCAATCCACATGTTAGGCTTACAGATTTGTGTCTTCAAAAACGTGTATATATAGCTTCATCTACCTAACAAGTTCTTTATTCCTTGTTATATTATAGATAGGACCCCGCGCGCGCTCTGATTAGTGAAAAACCCATGTTTTATCAGAGTATAAAACAAATAAAAAGCGTGTTTTATTGTTTTTCGCCACATTACCTCTATATCATAAAGCAAATGAAAAAGCCTAAGCCGTGTTTTACACTGTGATACACTCAAATGCCCGTCGTGTTT